GAATGGCATTGGCTCAAGACCGACTGGACGGACTGCCTGGTTGCATAAAGAAGTGTTCGTGATTGTGTGATTGTGGAAAGGGATTGATCTCGTGTTAGATTGCTCTCGCTGTCTGGATTGTATAGTGGAATTTTGCACCCTCCCTCCCTCTCTCTCTCTCTCTCTCTCTTTCTCTGTCTCTTCTTCTGCACAGCCTCTCTTTCTTTCCCAAGGGTTGAGGGAGAGGGGAGAAGCTCCCCTCACCCGCGCGCGTCAGCGCCCCCTCTCTCTCTCTCTCTCTATCTCTCTCTATCTCTCTCGCAGCGAAGCGTGGGACGCACAAAGAGGCAGAAAGCTACTGAGCGGGCAAGGCATTTGCTCACGTGGGCACTGGCCCGGCAGCAGACGGAACATGGCCTTCGACTGCGCAGACCTTGCCTTGCAATTCTCTGTGTCTATGCGTTCGGTGTACAGCTGTGTCAAACCCAAACGCAAAACAGCCAAAACTTGTTGCAAGAAATACCATGATGCTGGAATAAGAAGGCGATCGCACGTGTCGCGCAAGACATTGACTGGAGTTTTTTAGGCTACAGTGGCTACAGTTTTGCTATCTCCGGAGTACGTGGGTTCCACGGTCTGCCTGGAGCAGAGAACGCATGCAGGAACCATGACTGTGATGTATAAACGTTGCAGTGCACGCAACGCCCCCTCCCCCCCCAACCTCAACAGTTCCAGAGCTGCAGGCCAGTTGTTGAGGCAGCTGTCCACTGCGGAGCCTCGGCATTTATTGGCAACCGGTTGGATAGCATGCGGGCTTGTAGCCCGCTTGCGAAGTCTCTGGGCAGTAGCGGAAATGATCCACACTCTGGCTTTATGAAGTTCTTCCTCTCACTGGGCTTAGGGGCCGAGCATCTCAACAGTTCATGCTAGAATCACTTGCGTCAGGGCTCTGAAGATCTTGGCATCCAGAGCCAGTCCAGCCAGTTCAGCGGACTTCAACAGCTGCCTGTGCAGACTGAAGAGTTACTGCGTTGTGGCTGCCCCTTCCAAAGCTCATTGAGCTGCTTGCAACAACTGCTAACTGGACTAAGCAGGGATGCACGGAACCCATGCCCCAAAATAGTAGAACCGCCCAAGGCAAGCCCCCTAACCATGGGGCCTTTGGGCGCCCTAAACATGGAGCCGATAAGAAGCATTCTGGCAGATTAGCTTTCCTCATATTCAATATCCAAATCCCAGCGACAGCGCTTGCTCCCACTTCCGCTCGAAGGAGCAGGCTTTGATAGCCGAGCCTGTGATTACGGCGATTACGGGATCCTTTGCAACATGCCCCGGCCCGATACTGGACTGATGCTGCATCTGCACACGGACCACAGCATTAGGAACGAGTCAAAATCATTGGGCAAGGCACTGTAGCCAATGATATCGCATGGGATTCCGTGGCGGGACCTCAGCAACATGCAGCCAAGCCATTTGCATGGAACACTCGCGGCGAACGTGGGGAGCTGCTTCGGTTAGTCGGATGCTATGCAAACGTAGAAGCTGACACGCAGCGTGACTGGAGTGCACATGGCGAGCGTGCCATGCATCATATCCTTCCTTCAACCCTTGCAGCGCTTCCTGCTGCAAGCAATCACTGACTGAGCGGCGGAGACACACCGGCTGTTGAATTCACGATTCAATTGAGCAGCGAACAGTGAACAATCATAGAATGGCGGTGGCTCGACATGCAAGTGGCCAAACCAGGCAAGCACAAATAATTTGCACCGACGCCACACTCCACACAGACACCACGATCGTCAGTCTCAGAACCAGGCCCCACATTGGCACGGAAATGCTGGTAAAGTCAAACAACGGCTTCGAACAGATCTGCACCGATCCCGCACAGGAACCGCAGCCGCTTAGGCTGTTGTTTGCTTCCGTGGCTACCCTCGAAGCCGGGCCGCGTCGAGGCCAACACGGCCAAAGCAGCTTCCCAGCTGCCTCCGCAGCAGGCATAGACAGCACCTCTGCGGCGAAAAACACAACGCAACCAAATGTCGATGACTTTGGGATGTTGAGGCAGAGGCACTGTTGCATGCCACCGTGTTGATGGGCACCTGCAGCTGAAAACACCGAATCGGTGTTGGCGCAGCAGATCACCCGGCAAAGTCATGGCCTCCTATCCCTGGCATAGAACAAGTGAAACACATATTTGCGCTCGGACAAGACCTGACTACATATTGGCGCACCTGCATGTCAGGCATCAGGATGAGAAAGTCCAGGGCGTGCTGCCAAAGAGTGACATCCTGACGTTTCCCCAGCAACCACATCGACAGTTACCTCCTGCTCGTTTGCCACTGCTGCAGCACCACAACAAGCCAAGAGACGGCACAAGTGCGAATAGCCGCAGTGCAACTCTTGGCATCCTGGCACCAGCAAACACAAGGGGCGGAAGTGTTGCTATACAGTCCTGCAAGCATTGGGATCATAGTATGGCACCCATTTGCATGACGACCGAGTCGTGACAAGCTCTAGAATCTAGAAACAGTCGACCGAAACCTGTCTTCTAAACCAGTACCGAGAAGCCGGTGGCACTTCCACGTTTACCATCTCGCTCAGCAGCTCCTGCAAGGGCCTATAGCTTAGCTAACCAACTTCTCAAGCCCAGCCCATCCAAGAAACTGCGCGCTTAATGTTGAAACTTCGAATTTCCTCATGGCATCTGCAGCACCCCACCTGGCAACCTCACATCCTGAGATGCCAACGTCAGAGCCTGTGCGAGCCCAAAAGTAAAAGCCCCTTCAGTACCTACGACGGTGCAAACGCTCAGGCTTGCAATGACGACAGCAATAACAACAGCAATAGTAGCAGAGAGAGTTATTGTCATTGAGGATTGCTCGACCATCGCATGCAAAGATGCCAGCAACCTCAACCCAACACAACTAAAACCGACAGCAACAAGTGAGAGCGAGCGTCCCAAAGCACAGGACAGCCGGCCTGACAACTGTTGCAAGGAAGAACATTTGACATGACATTGATGACCGCACCGGTGGCGAGACAACCACGCTTTCACCAACCCCGCCATGCAAAAAAACGCTGCGGTGAAAGGACTGCCACCAGACAAACTGACAGCACCAGAAGGGACACCACGTGGTGTCACAAACCCAGACAGCAACAGTTTCGCGAACGCTCCAGGAAATAGATGACAGTATGATGACAGCAGCGGGATACCAGCGCGGTTTCACAAACTGACCCAGGGGTTCCAGTCAGCAGCCACGTGAAGAGAGAAGACCACCCCAGGGGAGCAGTAGCTCGCAAGAGGCAGAAGCAAGGAGCAAGCTGAGCAGGCCCTGTCTCCTTAGCCACATCTGGGCGACTGCCGCGCAAGCAGCATTGCAAAGCCTGTCTTGAACTTTGAGGGCGGGGGCTGCAGGCATCCGATGGGGCCTGCAATTACGTTTGCCAATATTGCCACATCATCGTAAGCAGATGGTTTTGTCAAATTGACTGTCCGGGAACATTCGACACCTGCATGATGAGTCCACTTTTTCTCCCAGTGACATTTCGCAAGCTGTTACCCGAGTACGGTACAGGATTACTGTACCATGAAAATCTTTACCTTTTCCTTCAGGATGTGTCCAGATGAAACAATAGCATCATTTTGCGGCTCGGGTCTGGCTTGGTGTGCGGAGACTTGTAGTATACCAGGTCCAGCCTCTACTGTAGTGGGTCTGCGGAACTGGGACGTCAGTTGCCTCTAATCTAGTTCAATGTTGTGGATCTTCGAACAGAAGCCCAACGATGCGCAACCCGGATGCTGACACGAAGCCCAGGTGTAAGACACGACGTTGGGGTCGCAGCTGGCCTCAGAAAGCACAGCATTATCCGAAGATCTCAGCACAACTGCAGCCCTTGTCAACTTGAACAATGAAACAGAAAGCCTTACAAGTCAAAAGCTGACACGGCCAACTGCTAAGCTGCCTCTGGCATGGCCCGCCGCAGCAGCTGAAGTGCTTCTGACCACCTTGGCCAGAAACGCGGCTGCTGAATGCCACATCACTTTGCCAGCTTCATGTAAGTCATAAACCAGGAAACGATAATATGCAGAGCCTGTGCCCTTACATGGCACGTGCTGTCACACCGCTGAATGACATCACATATACACTGTGCTCAGAAAATGGACATAGCGATGGACTCACAAGCCCTTTGTCACAGACATTTACGGCAAGGTCTTAAGCCAAGCCGGTGTACGTATCTCCTATACGGGGCCAGGGTGCGTAAGCCGAGTCGACCTTCGGAACCAAGCCTCATGTCCTTCCAAGGCTTAACTAAGCGAAAGCTCGTTTGCCCCGTCAGGCGTCGTGCCCCCACAAGCTCTGATCAGGTAGTTGAACTCCCGGGTTGTCGAAGCCACCTTTCCAAGCGACGACGGTTCTGCTCCCGTAAGAATCTTCGCCATGACACCTGATTACGACTCAATCCTGGCATGACTGACTACTGTGGATGTCAGTACGACGACCACACACACCACCACCATCACCACCACCACCACCACCACCACCACCACCAATCAGATGAGCAGCTCCCACATCTCTAGCAAGCTGGCATCGTACCTTCGTCAGAAACCTCTGGCTCTTCCCACCATCATCAACCGTCATCAATCATCATCTTCTTCTTCCTCAAAGCTCCTCCAGCCATCGCCAAAGCCTCTGCGAGCACACCGCCGACCGCCATCACTACAACCACCGCCGCCGCCGCCACCACCACCACCATCACCACCGCCCCATAACCACCACGACGACAGGCTAATCGAAGGGTCGTGCGCTTTGGGCTTGTTCTTTCGCAGCAATGGCAGAGGTCTGTCGTGTTCAGACCTCCACGGACATGCATCGTGCCACTCCTGGACCGCTAGCCGATCCTGCCGCCCCCACCCCGCCCCCCCCCCAGCATGAGGCTAATTAGGCGCCACTTCCAAGCAAACATACGGGCGCACGGGATGAAAAGCGCACACAAAAACGGCGGACGTCTCCACAAAGAGAAAGCAGACTTGCACCAGTGTTGGGAGTGCGGCATGATCACACCCGATCAGTCGAAGCATGCACATGGCTCTTATCGTCGCTGCGAACGCAAACCACCCAAGTCTCCACGAAACAATAACACAGCAACAGTCGGGCTTTGCATTTGCATCGGTGATGCTGCCCTCGTCGTCATCACAGTCGTAAGCATAAAAATCGGCGCTTGCTCGCCATCATTTTCATGATGGTCAACCTCATCTTGTGCTTCCTCGTGGTCATCACACTCAGGTTCGCCACTGGCCCCACTACTCCTGTGAGCAGTAGTATCCCAAACGACCACACCTCTACGGACGACGACTACTGGCATGCCATCCTACGCTCAATGCAAGCCAAATAAAAAAAGCCCACTACAAGTTGCCCCTTCTGCCATCTTCTGCCCGGGCCTCTGTCTGCCGCGGCTCCATGGCTCCATACGCAATGTGCTAGCCGGAGGAAGGTGATGATGCCGAAGTATGTCGGCGTTAAAACTGGGTAACTAGAGACTTCAGGCCCAGCATCCTGGCCTTGCAGACGTGTCTTCTGGATCCTGGAACTCACATGCCACACTTCTGACAGATAAAGCTCCGGTGGTTTTGGATTCCAAGCATGAGTTGAAGCTGACAGACCGCGAATCAGACCCTTAGCCTGAATCCAACCCAGGTTCAACTACAAACATGTGAGAGTCCATGCGGCACTAATCATTCACCAACCAGGCCGCAGTTGACTTGTCCTTGCAGAACAAAACAGCAAATACAAACGCTTCAGCCTTAGCCCTGCGCACTGCGGCTGCGATCAGAGCAAAATGAAGGGAGACACTGAACTGTTCTCTGCCGTGCGAGAGCTTTCCTGTCATAGCATGCACTGTTCTCTGCCGTGCGAGAGCTTTCCTGTCATAGCATGCACTGTTCTCTGCTGTGCGAGAGCTTTCCTGTCATAGCATGCAACCCCAAGCCGGGCTCATCCAGATCCTATCACTCGCAGCGATGATTTGCTAGTGCTGGCGAAACGGCTGCCCGATTGACCAGAAACACTGCGCCCTTTTCGTTCTCTTCGTTTGGCGAGCCGCAGCAGCGGTCTGGATGTCGGCATTCGCACGTGCATCCGGATGACCTGGAACGTACTGCTTTGCTCAGGCTTCGTGCATGGTGAAGCTCAGGTTCCTGAGTCACTCCTGAATTAGCTGCAATCATTGCAGGAAACGCTTGAAAGAGGACAAGACTATGTCAAATCGCCTCCATGCGGGAACAGTCTCTTCCAAAAGCGCGAGGGTCACTTCAGCTTCCCCGTCTTTGAAGATCAGCCTATAGGGCCTATCAGCCTCTCACCGAGACTTCTCCCTGGAGGATGATGCCTCTAGCCGCAGGCTGCAGGCTGGACCGGACGAATAAACTCCAGACAGCTGGACTCCTTCAAGGATTCGAGCCTCTGTCTCTTATTTCTGGAACAGACGAAGGGCGACATACCCTGGCCGACCCGTCGGCCGGGAACATCGAAAGTTCTTTCTGCCGGGCCTCTTTGCCCACGATCTGCTAGATATGTCCTATTAACTGAATACTGCTTCTAGTTTTTCCAGGTTGCGTTGAATGAAGCTTTTCTGAGGCATCCGTAGAAAGCGAGCTGGTGCTCCACACAGCTCAAGCTTGGCTTGCAACGGATGGCTGAAGGTCTACTTTCTTTCGACGGGCCCTGTAGAACACGCAGCACCCTGTAAAACCACAAAGGCACAGCATTGTGGTCATTGCGGAGTACGTCGCCACAAAAACCCAGGGTGAATTGGGAGGAGTGGGGTTATCGACGATCCCGAACGCAGGAAGTGCCAAGAGTAACTCTGTCTCCAGGTCGGTCAAAGTTTGGAGCATTGCTTCGCTGTTTTGGCCCTGCGTCTCCGTCTTGAAGATACCCCAAGCCGCGTCGATCTGCTTCCAGTGCCGCTTCAGGTCGTCTCGCTCCGGAATGATTTCCGACACGGCGCCGTCCTGACTGCCATCATGGAGGACAAGATGCACGCCTTCAAACTCCTCAGTGGCCTGTGCCAAGCCACCCCCTGACTCCGCCGCGGCCGCGGCCAATGTTTGTGCTGCCAAGGCCCTCTGCCAGTTCAAGAGCTCCACCCTTGCTCTCGGCCATTCCGGGTAGGCTGCCTCAGCCTCGTCTGCATACCTGCCAGCCAATGCCCGGGCCGCCTCGCACACGCCAGCGGTGGCCTTGTTGGCGGCCACCGTGCTAGAAGGCTCAATGGAATCCATGACGTCCCGAAAGTCGTTGACGGCGCTTTCCACTTGGATGGCAAAGTTGTAGCACGTCTGGCTGGGGGGTGCAGGCAGATGAGGGTGTAGGTAGCCCAGCATGAGCTTCTGAAAGGACTTCGTGACGTCTGCGAGCTTCTCCTCCAAGGAGTCCGTGAAATCTCCGCGAACGAACAGGCTGAACGCCTGGTTCGTTAAAACCTCGGTAAGTAAACCAAGATGCGGGTTGCATGCTACCGGCGGCATTTAAGGGTACGCTGCGATTGCCATCTTCTCTTTCTCGCTCAAGTAATGGGTTAACTTACGACAAGAAGCTCCCATGTTCGTGGCCGCCCTCAGGAGTCTGCTCACTTCACTTCGGGGTCCAGGAGGCGTTTAGAAGTATACCAGGTCTGCTCGCTCCCTCTCTCTCGCTCTCAGCTTCTTCTTCTGCGGCAAACTAATTAAAGGGCACATGCAGCAGCCCGCGCCCTGTTCTTGTTCGGTCGGCGTGAAACCTCACAGCCTCCCGGGACAGTGCACGGCGTCTGGTACTCTTCCTTCCTTGCTTGCTTGCTCTCTCTTCTTCCCCCGGGCATGAGGGACGGGTCAGGTCCCTTCTCTCTCTCTCTCTCTCTCTGTCTCTCCCCATAGGGAACTCCTCAGCTGCGCAACCTCTCCCTCTATCCCTCAATCTCTGTCGTTGGGTCAAAGTCGTTCCCCCTCGTGCCAGTGCACCCCCATCTGGTAACCGCCCATCAGCTTGGGCAGTCCCAACGCCTCGCTCGCGCCAACTGCCCCATCTGCCATTTCGTGTGGACATGTGTGGATGGGCCGGGCTGTACAAGGGCTACTGCTGCAAGGCAAACTAAACTCTGTCTCTGCTCTCTCTTCCACACAGCCAAAGGCACAGGAACTCAGCACCCATTGCTCGCATGCGCGCCCTGGTCTCCCAAGTCCTCTTGGTTGCCATCGCGTAGGACTGGACCCATGCTTGCTTGCTTGCTTGCTTGCCCTGGGTATTCGCCCTGGCCACGCGGCCAACCCCCCCGTGTCGCGTCAGTCCGTTCCCCTATTTGTTCGGCAGTGTGGGCACTCCAGTCCCCTTTTCTCCCGCTCTCTCCGGGGCATAGGATGCGTTCGAGGCCTCTCTCTCTCTCTCTCT